AGAGAGACAGGATTTGTTTATGTAGCCCAAGCTGGTCTTGAACTCACAATGATCTTCCTGCCTCTGCCTCCCAAGTGCTCAGATTACAGGCATGGCATCACCAAGCCCGGTGGGTTGCTATAGTTTTCTGAATTGACCCTTTCATTATTATGAAAGGTCTTTATCTCTGGTGAGAATCATTGTCATGCTTCATTTTCTTCAATTTTTTTTTTTTTTTCCTTTGGTTGCAGAACTAGGGATTGAACTCAGGGCTTTGCGCTTGGCTTATTTTACTGAGCTATCTCCCCAGGCCCAATTTTCTCCAATTTTAATGTGCCCCTTCAACTTTATTAAACCTGGTAATTTTCATGCAATGGAACTATGGTATGTGCTGTTGGAAGGTGTAGAGAGTACCATGAACAAAAGACACCAACAAGGCTGGACAGGAGAGTGGGTCACCAGGCAGTGGACACATAAACATCAAATATCCAACAAATGATGAGGGCCAGGACAAGAATTTTGACTTAAAAGTGTTGAAAACCAAATTCCACGAGTTTCCAAGTGGCTGAGTGCCAAGGTGTGGGTGCCTTTTTCTGGGTTCACCTTCCTTCTTTCTCTTACTGGAAGGCGTCTTGGTTATGCACATGTCATTAGGCTCAGTTTTTAACGAAATCCCTTCTGACAGCTTTCATTGGGAAGGCCTTGTGCACTCTGGCTTGCACAGCTGCTAGCAGGGTTGGGTTTCGGGGGCTGCAGAGGGAGTGTTCATCTGCCTTTTGATTATTTGAATCCTTCAGAATTCCACTTTAACTTAGGGGTGATGAGCACAGCCATTCTGTTGGTTCCTGGAATCAAGGGGAGGCGAGTTTTTGTGGGCAGAGGAACTGGGCAAGCTCTGCGTGTTGTTTCGGGGATGCTTTATCCAAAGGCCTTCCCCAAGCCTCCCAGTCCCCCTTCTTCTCAGCTAATGCCTGCCTAATAAAAGGCAGGGCTGTGTGCTCAGCCCGCTTCACTCCTTATCATGGTCCCCCTGGATTTGGGTCTGGTCTCAGCCCACTCTAGGGCATGAATGACAGACACTTTCTGGGCTGCCTCCGGAGCTCGCAGGCTCTGGGATCACGGCTGGAGCTTGAAGCAAAAGTCCCCATAATGAACATCTTGCTACCCTCTACTTAATCTTCCAAAGTCTCGCCACCGGGCAGGGCTGCGTACTCAGCAGTCATGCCTGCGATGGACCGCGCTGGAGCTGCGAAGGCCAGGGATTACCACTGCCTCCTTTAAGGTGTCAGCACCTGAGCTTCCCGTGTAAGCAATGCCAGGGGTCACTGCTCCTGCCAAACACTGCGGGAGGGCCGGGTGGGCGAAGCTGGAACCATCCGGGGCTCGGCAGAGTGCTGCGATGAGGGTGGCGCGAGCAGTGGGCAGGGCACTCCCAGCACAGACGGTCACCCGGACGAAGAGGTGGTGGTGGCGGCGGTGGCAGCCGCACTCTGTTCAGCACCTTCCGAGGGGGCAGTACGCGGGAAGAGGGCTGGCACCCCAACGCGCACTGCGCCCGGGACCCTGCTGCAGGCAGGCTAGGCCACCTCGCAGGCAGTGCCACGCTGAAGACGTGCTGTCCCCTCTGCGCACGCCTCTTCGCCGCCCGCCCCCGCCGGGAGGCTGCGGCCCGCATATCCGTCACGTGTGTGCCCGCCCCGACCTTCCGCGTCTGGGCGGCCCGGCTCACCCCGCTCCGCTGCAGGTGGCAGGCTGCTGGTCGAGGTCTGCGCAGACCGGGCGGCTCCGTCCACGCGCCTGCCCTGGTCCTGACGACGTCCTGGCGGCCTGGCTCGCGGAGCTAGAGGCCGGGCAGCCTGGGCGTGAGCGCACCGCTGCGAGGCAGGTGTCTCCCGTGCCACTGTCACAAACCTGACCCGCTTCGCGCTCCTTACACAGATTCGCCATCAAAACCGTGAATGCAGCAGGTGCCATTTAAAAACTGCACCCAGGCGGAGGCTGCTCCGCGCCGCCGAGGGCGGCGGCGGGCCGGACGCGGACGCCGCGCATGCGCGTGGCGCGGGGCCTTGTGGGAAGCGCGCGGCGCGGGGCCTTGTGGGAAGCGCGCGCTTCCGCAGCTTCCACGAGCATGGCGGCGCCGTAGTCCGGGTCCGGGAGCGGCGGACGCGGGCGGGACGCTGCTCGCAACCGTGGGCTGCGATGGCGACCCCCGACCAGAAGTCGCCCAACGTTCTGCTGCAGAACCTGTGCTGCCGGATCCTGGGCAGGAGCGAAGGTGCGCGCGGCCGGAGGCCCGCCCGGGCGGCGTGAGCCTGAGGCGGCGGGCACAGGGCGCGGGGCGCGGGCG